AGAGAGAGAGAGAGAGAGAGAGAGAGAGAGAGAAAGATAGAAGAAAACTCGACACCAAAACTCAACACCAAAAATCAACACCAACATCAACACCAACATCAACACCAACCCCAAATTCAACAAAGTCAGAAACACCACAGTGAGACAGTGAGAAACACAGAAAGAACTCACCCCCACCCCCACAATATCCGCATCCGCCCACGGCAACGCGCCCGTCCCCGCACTACAAATCCGATTCAAGCACCCATTAACCCCCCTCACATCCGGCAGCGTCCCATTCCTCATCAACCTCACCGGCGAACACACACTCTCAAAACAATCCCCCCTATCCCTGCCCCCCCTACAGGTCGCCGACAAACAATCCGTCGCCGCCAGGGTAATCTCCCCGAGGACCATATCCAACTCACTCTCATCCGGCCCTAGCGGGGGATCGATATGCGCCCGCACGACGGCGTCGATGTAAGGGGTTAGGAGACCGTTGCGGGAGAGGAGGATGAGACCGGGAAGGTTGGCGCAGGCTTTGTAGCGGGCTAGGAGGAGGGCGCCGTCGGCCGAGGGGTTGGTGTCGTCGGTGTTGAGTTGTTCGACGGAGACGTAGAGGGTGGAGGGGGAGCGGCAGCGGTTGAGGAGGTGGCATTGGGCAGGGGGTCGGCCTAGGCAGGCTGCGTCGAGGAGGTTGAGGGGGGTTTCGCCTGTTTTTGGGTTGGGGTCGAGAGAGGAGTCCGGAGCGAAGAGTCGGCGGCAGGCGGTGGAGTTTTGGGAGGAGACGAAGCAGCATTGGTCGCGGGCGAGAGGGGAGGTTAGGGAGAGGTATTTGCCTAAGCCGTCGCAGGCTACGAGGTCGGGGAGCGGCTGCATCTCGGGTTTCAGGTCTTGGTGTTTTGGTTGGAAAAGGGGTTAGGCAGCTAGATTTGGGGTTAGGGTTGACTGAGCGTAACTGTTCACGGGTATTATTTAGAGTTTGAAAGTAGAAAATAAAACCAAAACGATGACGCTCATGCAAAAAGCCAAAGTCCAAGCTAAATCTAAAAAATAAAACATGAAACATGAGAGCAAGCATCAACGGCCTTACTACCCATTTATCGGATTCCAACTTTGTGCGCCCGAAGGATCGTTGTGACGCAATCTAACCATTCCCAGACGCTGGCGTGCATGCGCTGCAACGCTCCCGCGGCCTATCGCGATTGCGGGAGCTGCCGCAGGATTGTCATGCGGCTGGATCGACAGCTCACAACACAGGGCTCGCCAATGCCTGCTCGGCTCCGAGTTACCTGTGGCAAATGTCTGTCGTACAATGACATCTTCGCACGTCAAGTCTCGAATGTCTGGCCTGCTATCGTAGTCTAAGTCGGATTAATTAGTCTCAGAATTAGTGTAAGCGCAACCCGTCTACAACTGTAAGTCTATCCCTCCAAAAGGACAATCAAGCTCAACCCAGAGGAAACCGCCCAATGGCCCCGTCCTCGCCCCCATCAAACAACCCGTTAGTATCGTCCAATGCAGCAAAGTGCTCCGCATACAACAACCCCTTCCGCCGTTCCACCTCTACGCGCTTCCAATCCCACTCCCCTTCCCCATCCTCCTCATCCACATCCCCCAGATCCTCCGGCGTCACCGTCCCCGTGCCCATCTGCCCGCCCTTCCACCCGTCCACCCCACCCGGCCGCGGCGGCAACAGGTCCGCCGCATCCAGCACCAGCGCCGGGTGCACCGTGAACCGCCCGAGCTTGAACACATACTTGCTGACCGCCGTAGCAATGACATACTTGCTAAAGTCCTCTTCCGTCGTCCCATCACCACCCACTCTAACAACCCTCGGCCGAGTCGGCCCCATCCGCCTTCCATCCCACCCCGTCGGCTTCACCTTCCCCTTGACTACAAAATGCGTAACCAAATACAACCACTTCCTATCCCAGCACAATACCCGACTCCACATCTCATACCCCTGCAACGGCCCAATCTCCCTCCGGAAACTACAAAACACCGCCCCCAATCCAATCCCGAAACCCCCCCCGACCAAATTCCCCTCTTGATCGCGCACGCGCTTGTGTTTGGCGTTTTTCGCAATGATGGGGAGACCGGGGCCGACGAGGTGGGTCACCAGGTGGGACCGGCTGACGTCGAGGTCGGCGAAGTAGGTCGAGTTGCTTTTGTGGATGTTGTAATCTGTTTCGAGGAGGGAGGTGCGCGAGGCGGTGATGGAGTAGTGGAAGAGGGCGCGCGGGGGCAGGAGGCGTGGGCGGTGGAAGTAGTGGTAGATGAAGGAGTGGAAGATGCGGACCTACAGTTACTCAGTTAGTTAGTACCTACTTTTTTACTTTATTTTTTGGTTTGAGGGACGAAAGGGGGACGTACCGTCCACGCAAGCGGTAAACTCTTCCAGTTGAGCGCGAGGAAAAACAACAGCAGCAGCCGGCTGGTGCGCCCCGGCCCCGTCACGAAGCGTGTCACGACAGTGCGCCAGTCGACCTGAAGCGCGCGGTGTCCGGCGTAGCCTACTGCGGCCACGCTCATCGGCAGGAACACCGGCACGAAGAGGGCGATTGTGCCGACGGCCATTTTGGCTTATTTGCGCGTTTTTATTTCGTTATGTTTGCGTCGGCTTCCGTCTTGTCGGGGTTCGTCTCGTCGGTCGTCACGATGTTCGGTCTGACGTTCGGTCTAATCCGGTCGTTCTTCCCGGCGTCGTTCGATCGCGCAAAAAGATTCCGCAGCGCGCCCAGCAAAAACACAAGCAGCACCACCGCCCAGAGCAACACACTGCGTCCGACACAAAACAAGGTGCTGCCGCACTTGGCCAAGAGAAAAGAAGACGCTGACCCGACTGCGGCGTCGGCTCCGGGAAGGGGCATCGCGCCGGATCGGTCGGGTTTAAGGGTGTTTCATTTCTTTTCTCAGGCAGGCAGGGAGTTCGAGTGGGGGTCCGTTTTGGTGTGGGGCCGAGGCTGTCAGCTGTCACGATGGATCCCAATTGATGTGGAATTACCTTACGTTACACTGTACTAATTGGCCGTTGAAGAAACTGGTCAACTGCTCTTAACATAATTCGCAGTTTGATCTCTTCTACCACATTGGATAACAAAACGGTTTCTGTGACCAAGATATTGCCAACGAGAGTACCACAAGCAGTATGGGACGATGAAGAACTTGGAGGCCGAAGCGCCAAGCCTAAATTCAACTCCGAAGCGCGTTTCGCGTTGAGTGGGGCGCGCCAGCTGAGCCGAGGTTCGGGATTCGGCCGTCTGCAGGTGTAATCCGTACGCAGGCCATACAACATGTTGTCGAAGCATTTGAGAACGACGACCTTTCGAATATACCGCGCCCAGGGCTGGTCTTAAAGTGGTCTCTAATGGCCTGCCCGACTTATCGCGGAAGATCAAGCCCTGTTGTTGCAGCTAATGAAGTCCTTTTCATGTTTACAGCGACACTGGTATAGTTAAGTAAATTACCTAACCGCACCAAAGTGAAAATATAGTTCGTAAAATCATCGGGGATAATATTTTAGTCTCAGTATGGTCCCCGTCAGGAAAATAGTCTCCTTAAAATCTGTAAGGAGCTCTTAACTTCGTACATGATGACAACGTTATTTGCCAAAGTTTTGAAACTATTTAACGACGGTGCTAAAACTTAAATAATGACCATCTAGCTTGCAACACGGCGCGAAGGCCTAGGCACAAACGCGGACGCAGGTGCACTTGATACATAGGAGAGGCAAATCTAGACCTTGGTCGTGGCTGATGTGGGTATGTAATTAGTTAGATATTGTCCTTGTTTCCAATATTAACCTGTTGCGTGTTCCCATCTGGACTAGCATCATCTCAATGACTTCATAACACGATCTTAAGCACAGCCAGAGGACGAAACCGAGTGCGATTCTAATCCCAGTTGATTATATACTTCCTGCTCATCAAGATTCATAACAACGCTGTTTAAATAGTGTCCATCCTTGGCCAATAGCTCGAGTTGAACCGCAAACAACGCCTTCCCAATATCCCAACGCCAGTTCAGTGTAAACTCACCGATCTAGTTGTCTGTGCTCGGCTAAACCGAGCTGGAGCTAACAAGAAGTACCGGTACATCACCTATAACTATACGTTTTGATGACATGGAAGTTACCCTTGTTCTAAATTGCTTCTTTCTAATCCATTCTATTACGCATTAATTAATGCCCTATCAGACCCATAACATCACTCTCCGTTCAGTGTACCCATTGCCGCCTAGCAAGAGTCCGTCCCTCTATCATAAGCCGAGCATCAGATTCCGGTCAACCTATACCACATGCTGTCGGGCAAAAAGTTACTTACGCCCAACAGTATCAATAATATCAACGTTAAATCGCACCAGGAATCAAGCAACCAAGAAACATCTTGGAGCCAGAGTCGAATGGCTTGAAAGATCGACGCAATGGATAACAAACGTTGTGGCTACCAGTGGGGTTCCTGTAAATCAAGTATGCCCCATTTATTGTTTCCCTACGTTACAGGTGGTTCAGGATTGCTTGTTCGCGAGCACTGACCCTTCGTTCTCGCAATATTTTGTAAAGCAGCACACCCCCCCTCGCTGATATCTCTAACTAATAGCTATTCTTAATCATTTTAGTTCGGAGACTCAATTGTCTTTCCGTAAACATCCTCGATAAACAGCATGAGCGTTAGTCCTAGTTACAGCCATCTAGCTACCTTAACCACCTACGGGTCAAATGTCTCAACACACCTCGGCAGCGAAGTAAGATAATAATTACACAACATTAATCCTGCAACTCAACCTCCCCCGTCATCCCCCACCCATCAACAACCTCCTCCCCCCCACCCACCTTCCCCCCCTTAACAGTCACCACCCATCCCAAATTCCCCGTCCCAATCCTCCCCAGGCCCCCAACAAGCGCTTCGCTGTGGAGAGTTTTTTACG